TAGGTTTCTGAATCTGGGTAATACTGGCCTCATAAAATGATTTTGTAATTGTTTTCTGTTCCTCTGTTGTTCACATCTACCAGGTCCTTACCTTGTTCCTCATCCTAGGGAAAACACTTAGGCTTTTATCATAAAGTATGATGCTCACTGTAGATTTTGTACATGTTTATCAGATAAGGAAGATCCCTTCTGTACATGCTTTTTCCCGTCTTGTTTGATTGCTCTAGAGCACTATATAAAGGTATACATTCTGTTTTACAGCTCCATAGTACTGCAGAGTGTCTTCCACCAGTTCCATGTTGATGGACATGTGGATTTTTCCTAGGCCTTCGCCATATTAAAATTGAATTACAAAGTTGCTATAATCAATAACCTTTTCATATTATCATTATATCTTTGGGATAGAGTCCCGTAAGTGGGATTGCTGGATTAGAGATTAAATACATGTTAATTTGCAGGGTATTACCAAGGTCCCCTCCATAGGAGTCACACTGTTTGGCACGCTCACCATCAATACACAGAAGTGCCCTGCTTGACAGCCTGACCCACCCATTATGTCTTCACATTTGGGTGTTTTCACCAGTCCCAGTAGGCAAGAAATAATGACGCAGTGTAGTTGTTGATATGCAGCATCTTATGAGGAAGATTGAGCATTTTTCATGTGTTTAAAAGCCATTTACATTTGTGTGAACTTTCTTGCCTAGTTTACTGTAGAGCTGTTGGTCTTTTTCTCTTTTTACTTTACCTATGGTGGGTTTGTTTTTTTTTTTAAAATAAACTTGTTATTTTAAGAGCAGTTTTTAGGTTCATAGCAAAATTGAGCAAAAAGTACCAAGAGTTCCCATATACCCCCTTCACTGTCCCCCCACCCGCCAGTACACTAATAGCCTTCGCCACCAATAGTCTTCGCCACTGTCAACATCCCCCACCACTCATGGTGCTTTGTTTTGTTTTGTTTTGTTTTGAGATGGACTCTCCCTCTGTCGCCCAGGCTGGAGTGCAGTGGGTGATCTCGGCTCATTGCAAACCTCCACCTCCCAGGTATAAGCAATTCTCCCACCTCAGCCTGCTGAGTAGCTGGGACTACAGGTGTGTGCCACCACGCCTGGCTAATTTTTGTATTTTTAGTAGAGACAGGCTTTCACCGTATTGGCCAGGCTGGCCTCAGACCTCAAGTGATCCGCCCTCCTCGGCCTCCCAAAGTGCTGACATTACAGGGGTGAGCCACCACACTTGGTTCACGCATTTTTTTTTTTCACATGTGTGGTTCATTTTTTTATGTGTGTATCTCTGATGCATTTGGAATTTACCTTGGTGTATAGTATAGGGAAAGGGAAAACATTTTTTCTTTCATATAACTACCAATTATCCCAGTGCAACTTATTAAACCATATCATATATTAAATACACATATGCAATTGAGTCTGGTTTTGAATTTTATATCCTATTCATTGGTCTGTCAATCTTTTCATGCCCTAATACCACACTTGGTTTTTTAGGGTTTTCTTGGCTATTATTCCCTCCCCTTCCTAATCTTCATGATATTTTCATTATAAATCTTTTCAAACATATGGCAGAATTGAATTTTGCAGTGAACGCCCATATACCTATACCCTAGATTTGAGCATTTACATTTTACTATACATGCTGCTTTTACCTGCCTATCATTCTATATTCATTTAGCCTTTTTTTAAAATAGATTTCAGAGTAAACTTCTAACAGTGCCCTTCCCCTTAAATACTTTAGTATGCATATCATTAACTAGAGTTCAATATTTGTTTATACTTTTTCTGACCATTCTTGCTTATTTCCAGATGAATTTCATAGTTGATTTGTCCAGCTTCAGGATGGGACCTGGTGATTTTTTTTTTTTAATTGAGATCACATTACACTTATAAATTAACTTAGGGAGAACTAACATCTTTATATTTCTTTTTCTATCAAGAATGATGTGTCCTTTCTTTCCTTTGTGTCTTTCATAAGTCTTTTTTGGTTTTTTACATATGGGCTTTGGGCTTAAGTTTATTCTAAAGTTTTTGTTGATATTGTTAGTTTTCTATCTTTTGTTTTGTTTTGGCTATTGCAAGTAGAATCGTCTCTTTCATTGTATCTTCCAACTGTAAATGAGGTACATTATGATGAACATTTAAGTCATTTTGTTATTGTTGTTATAAGCAGTGCTGTGGTGAATATCCTTATAACTTTATCTTTGTGCATATTTTGATACTTAGAATAGCAGATTGTATTTTCCAAAGAAAGCTGCCCCCAAATATATCCCATACCACATGCTCTTCTTAAAAAGTGATGTTATCACTGCTCCATTGAGAAAGCAAATTGGAGTCTGAGTTTCTTCCCCTTGAACCCTAGTGGACCATCGCGAATGCGTTGGGCAGTAGAATATGGCTAGGATCATGATTTCTGACTTCTAAGGCAAGGTTATGAAAGGCATTGAAGCTTCCACCAAAGTCTTTGAGACTGCCAGCCCTGCAGGCAGCCAGCTGCCGTGCACCAGTAACACACTCATGCAGCTCCATGAAGAAGAAATGAGGCTCCCAGCAAGCACCAACTTGCTAGCCATGGGTGTGACCTCCTTGGAAGTGAACCCTCCAGCCCTGGTCAACCCTTCAGATGACTGCAGCCCTAGTTGCCTTCTAACTGTACCCTCCTGAGACACGCAGAGCCAGAACCACCCAACCAAGGTGTTTCCAAATTCCTGCCCCCAGAAACACTGATCAGTAATAAATCTCACTGTTTCAAGGCACTAAGTTTTATGACTCAGCTGTAGTAACCTGAACAATTAAAAAGATTGATAACACAGTTACTTTTGAAAAATTTTTTTGTTAAATTTTGTAGAGGAGCATTTCCTAAATCATCTTTTTTGAAAACTACTCTCAAAAAACTCTATGAAGAGAGTCTCTGCAATCAGGTTATTTGCAAAAGCCATCCTTTTTGGAAATTCAGAATGTATTTGAGCATATTAAAGGCTCTGAAAACTTATATAGTGAAACACCTGTCTAGGTTTGACCTAACTTTCTCAGACTGATTTGACCACAGAAGTCCTTTCCCACAGCCCAGGATGGGTAGAATATACCCCACATGGAGCAGTTGTTATAAGCATGGGCGTCAGAGCTAGGTTCCCTGAGGTCATGTCCCAGCCCAGCCATTTGCTTACTGTGACCTGGGCAAGTTTCCTAACTTCTCTACGCCTCAGTTTCCTCCTTTGTTAAAAGGTTGTTAATATTAGTACCTACCTAATGGGGATATTCGAAATCAAATAAATTTATCCATATATATTGCTTAGAAAAAATGTCCACTATATAAGCCATTAACAAATGTTAGTTGGCATTAGTAATATCACCCTAATATGCATTTACATTGTTCCTTTCATTATAGTCTCTCTGCCTAACAATATGGAATTTATCCTAGATCTTTTTAGCACTCTGACTATAATTTTATAGTGTTTATGTAGATTCTAGCAAAGCTATTACAAAGTCCGTTGTTTCATAACCAAAATTTTTTCTCTTATTAATCATTTACTTGTATTTATAATGCATTCATTCATTCAACATATATTTATGAAACTGAATACCAGGCACTAATCCAGAATCTGGGATCTAGGAGCAAGGCTGACAACCAACAGATAAATAAACAGATTATAGACTGTGATAACTGCTATGGAGAAAACAGGTGCAGAGGAGTGGGAGGCAGCCTTTCCTTGATAGAAGAGTCAGAGGTGGCCTCTCTGAGTAGGTGAAACTGAGCCAAGCCCTGTAGGCGGGAAGGAAGATGATGTCCTGGGAAGAGCCTGTGGGGAAGAAGCAGGGGAATGCCAAGTGCAGAGGACTCAGTCCTGAAGTGAGTCTGTGCCTTCGAGTGGGTATTTAAGGACTTGTGCTTTCAGAGTTCACTTATATTAAGATGTGACTTAGAACATGTACACGTGTGGGTATAGGTATATATGTGTGTGTGTAAGTATATATGTTGGGGGGTATGTGTGTGTGTATATATATAGGTAGGGGATATATATGCATGTGTTTGTATGTGTGTGTGTATGTGGGGGTATATATCAGTGTGTGTGCATATGCATATGTGTGTGTAGGTGTATGTGTGTGTGGAAGGGTATGTGTGGGGGGTATATATGCATATGTGTACATATATGGTGTGTATGTGTGTGTAGGGGGTATATATGTGAGTGGGGGTATATATATGTAGTATATGTGGGTGTGTATACATGGTGTGTGTATATGTGTGTGTGTATATATGTGTGTGTATGTGGGTGAGTATATATGAATATGTGTATGTGGTATGTGTGTATATGTGGGGGGATATACATGCATGTAAGTTTGTAGAGGATATGTGTGTATGTAGGGGGTATATATGTGTGTGGGGGTATATATATGTGGTATATATATTGTGTGTATACATGTGTGGGTATGTGTGTGGTGGTATATGTGTGTGGGTATATATGTGGGAGGGTATATATATGTGTGTGGGTATATACATGTATATATATGTGTGTGGTGTGTGTATGTGTGGGTATACATATGTTGGGGGTATATATGTGTGGGGGTATATATACATATGAATATATGTATAATATGTATTATATATTATAATTAATAACATATTCAGCAATCTTTTTGCATTAGTGTCTACTGCTGGGTGAGCATCAATCCAGCTTCCTGGGTTTGTTGAGTGTGTTGTCAGTCTATGGAGCATATTCAGCACATACCAACTGTAGCCTGCCCCTGCATGCTGGTCACTGTGCCATGGCTGCAAATGCAGAGGGCGTGCACAATCTCTACCCTGCAGGCAACAATGCCAGTGTTAAGTGCCCCAGTGGAGGTGTGTCCGGATAGCCACTGGGCCCAGAAGCAGTGACTGCTCCCCAGTACGGGGGCACAGGACAAAATTGCAGGGTCACATGTGACTTCTTCTGTTGTCAAAAAGGAATCCTGTTATGGAAATAAAACACCTGACTGCTAATTATGTATTTTTAGATCTAAGCTGGAACCAGAACCAAATACAAAGACAAGAGAATCCACATCTTCTGAGAAAGTTTCACAGAGCCCTTCAAAAGACTCTGAAGAAAACCCTGCCACTGAAGAACATCCAGGTACGAATTGAGATGAATATCTTGCCTTGCATTTCTTCCTTTTGACATGTTGGCAAGAGTACACCACAGGAACGAAGTAGCACAGTCTCAGACATGTTTTGGTGTTTGTATTTGCATAAAGCAAAGGAAGCAGGAGGTGGCAGCCTTTGTGTCTGTCACAGTTGATCTTCGTGACTGCCACGGAGGCAGGAGGTGCTTTCACCCAGTCACCTGGGAGCTGGCGGGGTGCAGGAGAAAGGGCCTGCTATAGAGGGGTGAGGCCGGGATCTGTCTGCCTCAGGAGCCCTGTGTGCCAGCCTCAGGAGAGGCAGCATTGCCTCCCTGGCAGCCGTGCTCTGCATGTCAGCTCTGAGCTTACAGGCCTGCGCCCAGGTAGAGTGTGCAACCTCAGCGGCCTTTCACAGCCAGTCAAACCAACAGGACAAAATGCAAATCTGTGTTGATGTGCTGCCTGTCACCACAGATACTAGACGGCCCAAGGCTTAGAACAGTTCCTGATGCACAGGAGATGCAGAAGAAATACAGGGTCTCCATGAAGTCCGAAAATGTGGGGGCACATACACAATGTGGTCATGGATGTCTGCGATCTGTGTGTCTGGCTGGCACCCCCACATACGGATGCCTGCATAGTTTGCTATATCCGAGAGACAGTGGAACAGGGTTCTTTGCGTGAATCACAGGGTGATGGCGTGCTAGAGCCAGGAGAGACCTGGGAGTCCCCTGTGGCATCCTTCTCCATAGTCTCATGGCAGTTCTTATTAACTCTTGTCTTCCAGATGCTAGGCACAGTCCTGGACATGTCACAGAAATTACAGGTTGAGTATCTCTTATCTGAGATGCTTGGGACCAGAAGTGTTTTGGATTTGGAGTTTTTTCAAATTTTTGCATATTTTGCATTATACTTACCGGTTGAGCATCTCTAATCTGAAAACCAAAATCTGGAAAGCTGCAATGAGTATTTCGTTTGGGTGTCACAATGGAGCTCAGGAAGTTTCAGGGATGTGATTCCTGCCCTCAAGGAGCTCACAGTTGATGGGAAAGATAATACTCTAGCCCCTGGGAGAAAGTAAGTAGTACCTCAAGAGAGGGCAGAGGGCCAGGGAGACTTCAAGAGGAGGCAGCACTAAGAAGTGAGTCTGGGCCAGGCGCGGTGTTTCACACGTGTAATCCCAGCACTTTGGGAGGCCAAGGTGGGTGGATTACCTGAGGTCGGAATTCAAGACCAGCCTGACCAACATGGAGAAACCCCATCTCTACTAAAAATACAAAATTAGCTGGGTGTGATGGCACATGCCTGTAATCCCAGCTACTCGGGAGGCTGAGGCAGGAGAATCACTTGAGCCCAAGAGGCGGAAGTTGCGGTGAGCCAAGATCAAGCCATTGCACTCCAGCCTAGGCAACAAGAGCGGAATTCCATCTCAAAAAAAAAAAAAAAAAAAAAAAGTGAGTCTGGACCTGAAAAAAAAAAAAAAAATGAAAGCTTAGAAAGTTCTAGACAGAGGCAGCAGCATGAGCAAATGCTCAGAGGCCAGAAAGCCTGGAGCTTGGGTGGAATGTAGTCAGTAAAGAAGACCCCTGGGGATCAGTGAAGCCCGTCAGTGGGAGGAGAGGTGGGAGTAAGCTTGGAAGAGTGGGTGGAGCCTTGAATGCCAGACTAGGGAGTCTGGACTTGCCTCTGTGGCACCAGGGTGCACGGGTGGCCTGCGCAGAGGACTGGCTTGGTGGGTGCTGTGCTTCAAGCTGATCCTTATGGCAGCCTGTCAAGAAGGCTTTTGATGGCCACAAATGAGCATGCTGTAGAGTGTGAGTTCTGCTAAGAGAACTTTCCCATTCTAGCTCAGAGTTAATTTATGCTTAGTTCAGATATGAACAAGGTTTCTGTTTCTAATTTTGGTGTTTTTATCCTTAAAAAAGAAATCAACAACAGTAAAAGCTTGCAATGGATACCATAATGAGGACAAGTAGGAGACAGCTCGTAAGGTGGGGATGGGGGGTAGATGAAAGTACAAATGTTCCTACCCAAAGAATGTCATCTCAGGAAAATACCAGATCATTTCTAAAGATACTTTTAGCCAACCTTTTACAAACATGTTTTTCTATAATGACACTTCTGGTAAAAACAGCCATTTTTCTAAAAGCCTGCATGCACTAAGTTGTGGATGACGTGGAGACTTTTTTTGTAAAGATATATTTCTAATAAATAACCATAACTTTCAGGCATGGCCTGCCTAGTCAGCTTTCTCTACCCTGTTGCTATCATTATGTTCTCTTCCCCTATTCAAAGATCTGGACTTGTCACCATCTCATGGGGCTGAGGTCGACTACAGGAAATTTATTGAGATTGAGGAAAAAAGGAAAAGAAGCAGTATTTGCCTTTGAGTACTTGGAAGCTCACTGATAAGCCCAGAGACACCACTGAGACACACAGACACAAAGTGATTTCATTAAAGTCTCCCCCGAGGATCCATCCCTGCCATCCCTCTCCCCTCCGCTCCCAACCCCACCCCATTGATGAACTGCACAGACCTCTTACTGTCATCCTGGGCAGTAGCAGTCCTTTCTAGGGGCCTGTGGTATTGACATGCTTCATGGAGGACGCATCATGTTTTGTTGATCATAATGAAAAAGTTCTCCAGATTAAAATGTCCCTACGCTCCCATTCAGCAGTTCCATGCCCAGGTGTCTGTCCTAGAGAGTCACTCCAGCATGTGTACAAAGCACAGACTGGGACACAGTACCATTATTACCCCAGTGAACAGTCTGAAACCACTGAGGTCTGTCAGTGTAGTTATGGCTAAAGACTAGTGTATCCTCACGATGGAATATCATGCAGCAACTTAAAAGAACAAGGTAGATCTACTTGGACGATCTCCAAGATGTATCAATAAATCATACAAAGCAAGTTTTAGAACAGTATGTTACCATTGATATCTGTGTGAAAAGCAACCATACACACAAAACTGTGTATTACTTGAATTTCATAGGTAGGCAGGTACTCATATCTTTGGATGTGAATATGTTTAGATAAAATCTATGACGCTACATCAAAGCAGTAACTTCTGGGAGAGGAATAGGATTGGGGAACGGTATATCACTTCCTGTATATATATATATGTGTGTGTGTGTATATATATACATGTATATGCATACGTATTTTTTACATTAAAAATATGTCTTACAGTCTTTACAAGTAGAGAGGCGTGTATGTGTCCTGAAGTAAAACATACTTTAAGACTCATTCTGAAGAATGTCCATTTAGTTTGCAGCCATTGCTGACATTGGTGCAATATTGAAACCGTGCGTAGGTCCCCTCCCCACCACACGCACACATGCATGTGCCTGCACAAAGACAATTTACAGCCTAAATGTTGTGAAAGAATCATGTCTGTAGTTCCTGAATATTAGCCCAGAGATCATGACATATATGGACAAAGCTGTAAGATTCTGCTCCATCTCATGTTTGTGTTATGATTACATCCTAAGCCAGCCTATTCTAAAATGAATATTTGGTCTTCTATTTTCAATTTTTTTTGAACAGAAAAGATTTTGGCTGAAACACAACCTGAATTGGGAACCTGGGGAGATGGCAAAGGTGAAGATGAGTTATCCCCAGAAGAAATACAAATGGTAATGCTATTCTCTGCCTAATCATTTATTTTTAACTGGTTTTCATGAGACTGTTTCATTGAGAAACTCATCCTCAATGCCCTTGCCCTGATTTTTATACTGAGTTTTAAAAATTATAAATGTGTATCTTATATACACTTTCCCATTTGAGTTCCTAATTCTTAGTGTGCCTTTCATATGCTTTAAATTTGCAGTAGCATAATTAAAGAATAAATTTTTCCTTGGAAGAATTTTACTAATAATAGATGTCTTTTCAACAACAGTAAAATAGTCGTCTAGACTAAATAGGTCTTTTATAAATGCCACTATGATGCTTTTTAATTGTTTGAATTGCTAGTGCTATGGTAATGTGAAAAAAGTAAGATAATGACTGAAAAGTGAAATCTTACCTTAACTACTGATAGCACCTCCTTTTAGTTACCTGCCCTCGAGTTTCCAGCTGCTTAGCTTATCATCTCTAGGTGGGTTTCAAAAGGAAACTGATAGGTCTGCCAAGCCCCTGCCAGCTCATGTCCAGCAGTGTGTGTGCAGCTCATCTGGATACTGGTGTGACAGAAGCCAAATGGAATATGCTACCTGTGTGTGAGAACAGATGTCATCTAGAGCTGCTAGGATGTGACACCGTCCTGTGCCTAAGACGTGGGGAATGTGGCTACCACACAGCATGCCTCCAGTGACTCTGCCTGGCAAGTGACAGCATTTTAAGTGTGCAGCAGTTTGCAGTGGACAGAACTTTTTGATTCTCATTTTATCCATGATACTCTTAATAATTGCACTAAGAGGTGGTGGAACATTAGCATCTCATTTTAACATTGGCAAAAGGCAGCAAAGGGTCTTGCCCAGAATCCCCTAGTTAATCAGGGAAGAGCTGGATTTCCAGCCCTCAAGAAGGTAAGAAGTGGAGCGTGAAAACAGCTCTATTGAGGAAGCATGGGATCCAGTCTTTTCCCCAGCCTTGAGCCTCTCAGACTGAGGCATTTGTGTTGCTACTTATGCCACCTGAAATTTCAAGTTCTCTCTGTCTACTCCTGGCATGTCTTACAGGTCTCAGGTGTTTTTTTCCCTCAGAGAGGCCCGGTGATCCCACCTGCAGCAGCTCCCAGATACTGTGTCCCATGACCCTACTTGCTTTCCCCCCATATCCCCACTAGAGCACAAGCTCTGTGAGAGCAGAATCTTGTCTTGTTTTCCTCACCATATTCCTAGAGCCCAGAACAGTGTTTGGGAATTCTTTGTTGAATACATGAGTGACTTTGATGAGTATAACATAAAAGCTATAGGTTGTTTTCAACAGTAAGACAGAATCATCAGTAATAACTATTAGAATGTTCTCGTGTTCAGTTATTACTAGTATTATGGATACTTATGAATGGCTTCTCTATCCCAAGCCTTTTGCATATGTTGTCCTGTTGAATCTTCATGACAATCCACTCAAGTAGGAATTATCACTATTATGCAGTTGAAGAAAATGATGCACAAAAACTAAAGCCCTGCCCAACGTCACAGAACCAGTAAAACAGCAGAACCAAGCTCTGGCTCCAACCCTGCGCTTTTTCTCCAGTTGGTTCTGGTGGTCTAGGTGAGTGTTGCTGCATAGGAGCAGCGTGGCACACTGACATAGGCCAGCCAGGCAGGAGTCAGAACAGCCACGCCGGCCCACTGAAGTGTCATTGTAAGCATAGTGGTGCAGGCTGGGGACCTCCAGGGATGTCCAGGTCCACATGTCTGCTCTCGTGAGCATTGGCTGCCAAGGGCAGAGGACTAGCTTAGCATCCTCTTGCTCTCTGGACCCCCTGTTTCTTCTCCATGCCTGAAATAAAAGACTGAAACCAAATCTCTTTCCTAAAAATTCTTCTCCATGCCTGAAATAAAAGACTGAAACCAAATCTCTTTCCTAAAAATGACATGAACAAGTGAAGGCAAAAAAAAGCCAAAAGCCAAAATCCAAAAGGCAGCACAGCCTAGTGGGAACAGTGCATCGTCTGACTGGAGTCCACACCTGGCCTCTCATCATTGCAGCCCTGGGCCCTCTCACTGCTCGGGACCTCTGTTCCCTCATCTGTGAAATGGGCAAATAATGGCCACCTCACAGGTGGGGCTAAAGTCTGAGCGAGCTGGCCCATGAGGTGCGTGCAACACAGTGCTTGAAAAATTCTGTTTCCCCTTCCTTTACCCTTCAGAGTGGCAGGTTATACAAAGAGGCAAAACAGCCTCTCCCTGCACAGGGTGGAAGAGATTGGGCACGGCTGCCCGTGTGCCATCAGTAGGGAAGGACTGTGGCGTGTATGCTGTCATGGCAGGGTCAGGGCATGCAGGATGGCAGCTGGAGCTCAGAGCATTTTCATATGCCTTTCATGTACAATTCAGTTTCGCACAGATTTATCCACCCAGATGAGTGGTTTCCCCTTTAAAATCATGGCCTTGGAAGCTTGAAACTGATTCCAGTGATGGTACTGTTAGTCCTGACTTCCCTGAGACTTGCTTTGGGGGTTCTCCTTCAGAGCCTGTGATACTTTCTTTGGAATACTAAGCAGAGCTGTCTTTATCCTTTATAGACAAAAATAATTCTGAACTAAGGAAATGACTCAAACACCTTAAATTGCCCTGCAAGTTTCTTGCCTTCCTCTCCAGCTTCTTTCCTGTTCCAGAATTCACCTTATGACTTGAATTAAGTGCTCACCAAATCCAGCAAATGGGGGAGCTAGGCCCTCGAGGTGCACATTGTGTAGAGGGTGGTTAGAGGAAGACAGCCGCAGGAATTCCAAGCAGTCATTGCGGTCAGTCAGGTTGAGAGATGATGAGGGCCTTGAGCCAGGAGTGGCAGTGAAGGTAGTGTTGAGAGCTGTGGCGTGGGAAATGGCCTGCACTGAAGTGTGAGATGAGGAAGGAACCTTGCACTTTCTGCCATGGGAGGGTGCACAGAAGGTGGGCAGGCTGGGGCTGAGCAGGAGATGATGAATTTCATGTAGACAGGTGTGAGTTTGAGGCACCTGTGGGACATTCATGAGAGGTGTCTATGGGCTCCAGGGCTCGGGCTAGAGAAAAGCACGTGGGAGACATCTTACAGCTGATATCTGAAGCATGGGCTTGGGCGAGGCTCTCTGGAAACAAGATGAACAGCGAGAAAGGAGAAGGGGTTGTGGACACCACCCTGGGGTACACTCCACTGGAGGGAGGCTGGGGCGGAGAAGCCCACAAAGGAACATAAAGAGGGATTGGATCATATTCCCATCTTACAGCCAAATAATGGCAGAAGTTTCTTAAAAATCTCTTAGGTTTTCATCAGTTTATATGAAATCCTTTTATGAGTGGAAATGAGTCATTTCCCCAAATATTATACCATTGCCCCATTTCTTTGCTAGAGAAAAAATGTGTACAGCTCTGTCTCTTCATTAAGAAAGAATACATTTGTGTTTAAGAAGAGTTTGCCTTCTGTGTTGGGCTTTTTCTTTTTCTTTCTCTTTTTTATTTTTATTTTTTTTATGCACTCCACCACTCTTCATAAAGGAAATAGCTAGAATAACAGTGGTGTGGGTTGTTTGTCCAAGGATTTTTGCCTTTCTCTGGGAGGCAGTGGTGAGCTAAGTATGTTGACCTTTGCAGCTATGTGACTTAGCAGCCTGTAGGTGTGAAAGGTGGACAAGAGGAAGGCTGGCAGTGAGGATATCCACAATCACCTGGCGCTCCCATCCCGCGGAGGGATGATGAAAGAACATGGGCTTTGGGACTAGACAGAGTTGACCATGAATTTATACCACTTACTGTCTTTGTAAGCTGAGGCTAGAAATCACTGCCATCAGTGATCTCTTCAGAATCAGTACCCCACAGAATTGTCTCAAGTGCTGGATGCAGTAGCACCTGTAAGAGCACCCAGCAGAGGGCAGGGCAGACCAAATGGTGGCTCCCTCCCACCAGAGAGATACTGCCATGTCTGTGCACGGTGGCATGCCCTGTACATGTGCAGCACGTGATTTAGTAACTGATGTATCAGAGTACGGCTCCTCTTCCCACAATGAGGTTGATGCAGCATGCTTCTGTTTCATTCCACTGTCCTGAGTCATTGTCTAAAGACACTCCCAGTAACACTGGTGATTCCAGCATGGAGGTATCAATGACTAAAGCAATCAGAATCAGCAGACTTCTTACTTTCTATTGTGTTACTGCAAGAGGATCGGGCAGAAGGCTGTAATGTTCAGTACTTTTATGACAGGCTAATTAATGTCCAGTTAACTTCTTTCTTAATTGGGAATAATAGGTAAGTACCGTATCTTATAGTCTGACTCACTCCAATCTTATGTAAAAGGCCTAACTCTGAAAATAAAGAGAAAGAAATATAACACTGTTGGTTTTAAATTGGAAAATGTTGTAGCAAATCGTGGTCATAATTCATAATCACTGTTTCGGAATTTTTCCTCAGGGTACAATAATAAATTAAGCCCAATATAGCAATATAATTCATTGTTTCACCCAAAGGAACAGTTATTACATATTCCAAAATGGTTGCAGGGTATTATATGATTTGCACGATAAATTTCCCTATATAATTCACGATACAGATATATTAATGCCTTTGAGTTCGCAGATGTTTGTGGTCAGGCTGAGTGGAACCAAATTGTTTTCCAAAACAATTGGAATTGTCCTGGGCCCTGCCAGCCTCCTTAAGTAATAGTGACCTTGTAGTTGTCTGGGAAATAGGCCTTTTGTTTTTTAAACACAGAGGCGGCTCTCCATTAAAACTGGCCATTGGCAAACCTCTCTCCTCAGCCCTTAGCACCTTTGATCCTTGAGGCACCTGGTTCTCTTCCTCTAGGGACTAGGTATTTTCCATCAAGAAAATGCCTCCCTTTCTAAAAACACAGTCACTTTACTTGCCTCAGGTAAAACCACCTGCATTTATTGATGTACTCCTTGGGATAATTTTTTAAAACATGAATGTGGCTTCTGTTTCTTAAATCCACATGAAAGTCATCTTCCAAGGCCCTGTCCCCTGAGGTAGGCCC